ATTGCATTCGGTTACGTCTGTGTTGTGCCTCTTTCTGTTTAAGGATTGAAAGTTTGCGCCTATAGACTTACGAAGCTTGAAGCTCGATTTAGTTTCAGAATAACGCTCGTATTCACAAACGATGACGCACAGCGTTGAATAGAGCTCTGTGATTGGTTCGTGTGTCACTCTGTGCGTCCACGCGCACTGTGAGACCTCATAGTAATGTTTGTGAATACGGGCGTTAGGCTTTTGTTTGGTTGGTTCAATATTTAGTTAGATTAATTTTATAGGACAGAATCTATAATGGAAATTGAATTTTCATTTCAGTGTTGTTTTGTAAAACAGATCGTAGAAGGCATTTTTGTTTGACATATTTTATGATATGAGTACAATTTATGAAAAGTAAGCCCTATGTAACTACAACACACAATTAATCAAAATCTATTTAACCTTCGTATACCCGCGCCAAAAAGCATTACACATATACCCGCGCACGGTCTCTCAGACCGAAAGTTGAGCTCGTGTTTTATAGTATAATTGTGTACTGTACTGTACTATAATTTGCTTTAAATTATACGTTAAGGTTATAATTGCATAAAACAATTAAAACAAATTTTATATTTATAGATATTTTGATTTAATCAGCCATTAAATCAGACTTAAAATATAAAAAATTTTTTACATCAGCCTAAATTTAATAACAAAAATAAACTTTTTTTCTTTTGAAGCCTAAAAAATTACAATAAAATATAATAAATGGAAGTATCCTTAGTAATATAAAAGAACAAAACAGTTTATATCACTAGTGGTTTCAGTGGAATAATAACCGGAACATACCATAACTGCATGCTCGTATAATGACAAAAATACTTTTTGCATCTGACAAATCACCCTCCTGCTCAGTATCGGTGTTGTTCTCTTGCACTTCTAAAATCATCCTAGACCTCATCACTGTCACTCTGGTCATCATAGTTGGAGTCCGTATCTTCACATTCTAACAGCGCCTTTATCCTTTCTTCGTTCATTATGACGACAAAAATGGCTAAAACAAATTAATAATAATAAAATATAGTAATACTTAATTGATATGAAATGCCACTAAACTATGACAATACATTTTATTGAGTAATATTGTAAAATAAAACAATAGTAACATACCTGAAGTAGATACACGTATACCCGCGTCGGTCTCACAGACCGAATAACAGCAAAAAGTGATACACGTACACTTGGCAGCAGCGATCGCCCAACACTAAACAATGGCAGGCCACAAATCATGAAGCTACTAAAAACCGCAAAGTCATAGAGTTAATACTTTTTGAAAAAACTCCGAACTATTAGTTCGTCGGTCTGAGAGACCAACGCGCGGGTATAGGAAGGTTAACCACCTATAAATGTTTAAAATTAAGTTTAAAAAATATTACATTGTGTTTGTCGAATGTCTTACTAAAGTCTAAAACACAAAGATACTGATCGACACAGTTGCATTGCCTTGTTACATCCTTTATATTAAATATATCACTGTTTATTATAATTTGAATGTTTTGCCTATTACTTATTCTGTGGTTTTGCTTTAATTAACCCTGACACGAAATATTGCATTATATCCAACACTTATTTGTATATCTAATTCATGTATTTTGCGATAAAATTTAGAATGTTAAGCACTTTTAGTTGCTTTTTTTATTACTACCTAGACATGTTCTGTGCATGAACTGCCTGTGTAATACCATTGCATATTGCAAGTGTAGTCAGTTTTTACTTTTGATTTTTTTATCCTACTGGAGTCATATTTTGTTTTATTTTTGTAAACCTTACGGGGAATCTCTTGGCTTCCATATTACTTTATAGAAAGTGTTAAATTTCACCAACAAAGTTGCTTTTTATGTATATTCGTATTATATTTTATTTTGATCCTATCGTAACTACATAAAATTCCATAAAGTCTTAAAAGTTAAAACATATTCTTGGTAAGTTTGTATTTTATAAATATACTAAGAAAAGAAGAAACACGTTAGACACTGGGATGTTGTATCCCCTCAATTAACAGTCATCAATCTTTCCCTCAGTAAATCCGGTTTAAACAGCAACACTGGCTCAGAGCATGGATCATTTGATAGCACGCTATTATTAACCAATATTATGCCAATATGCTCTAATAAAACAACAAAACTCATGCAACAATAGACCTAAATGCAAAAGCTCCAAGATCACTTTTGTTTTACAAATCTTGAAGAGGAAAACACATAAAGTGNATAAAGTGGTAAACATGTACACATAATTGCATACCTCTTGTAATTCCAAAACCTATTTGTTCCTGTAGTTACGTGGAAACAATATATTATTGCAGCTATATTGGAGTGTTTAGATAGGTTTTAATATACTGAATAATTAACGGATTATTTATAACTTCTAATTCTAATAGAATTCATTGAACCATTTTCTAAAGTTATCGCTCAACAATCACGTAACTGTTTTTCAAAGCTATTGATTATGCTAAAGCTAACGTAGCTTGAACATCTATAAAAAACAATTTATAAGTTATTCATCATTGTCTTCATTATGTATGCTAAAAATATTCGTGAATCAATAATTGTGGTCTGTGAAATAAAATATGCGATATCGAAACTATAATGAATGTATATTTTATTATCAGGTCGCAACATTAATTGGTATGCAAAAAGCTCTTTCTCATAACAAACGAATGATGTGTTTAATATTTTAACTACGCGAGATAATCCGGGTTATCTTCGCGAAGGCAATTGAAATTCTTCTGTGTTTCTGCTCACATCCTCTAAACTCTAAACAATCCCAAGCAACGGTCGCAAATGAGAAAAGTTTCGGTGCAACAATGAGATAGTTTGATAAACGCCCATTGTTGTCGGCCGTTGCAAAATCGGAAATGTACCGATTGTTATGATTTATGCAACGCCTTTGATAACGTGGGTCACGCGAAATGCAGAACGAATTTGGGATTTGTGTCATCTTGCATTCTTTTTTTTTTGGCTTACATCCTTTCAGGTTTTATGTAAACTCAAACTGATAAAAACTTTGTGCTTTCAATTACCATAACAATAATTCTGGAAAGGGTACCGCAAGGTAACCTCATTGGCCCATTGTTCCTTAATCTTTATCTTTGATAACAAAAATCTTGTTCAAGTGATTTTTAGTTACTGATTAGTCATTCGCAGGACAGGTTATTATCCTTGACTTACCCACGCTTTGTGAGTGGTATTTACGTTTTCTAATGGGCATTCTTTTTAAATGTCTGATTATACATTTAGATTGTTTTAAAGAATCCGGAAGAATCTCAAATTATAATTAGGTTACCTCTTTAGTGACACACGATTTTTGAATGTAAAATTTATATTTATTTATACCTGATTTGAACCTTTTCAACAAAAAGGTAGACAGGAAAGTGTCGTTGTTTTGTTGCCTTCCTCCTGTTATCACTCCTTATTATTCATTCTGTTTACCTCGGTTTGCTGGTTCGTGAACAATAATTTGAGTCATTACTATGGTTTTATTTTAGTATTGACATTACCAGTCCATTTGGCAGACGTGTCTTCTTTACATCTTTCATTTGCCTTACATGTACGTACGCATCAGATCTTGTTTAAAAATTGTATTTTATTTAATGTTGTTAGAAAGAACGCTTTTGATAATAAAGACTTCGCCAAAGTTTTGATAACCTACGAAATGTTTAGATGCTGTGATATGTGATAATGTTAAGTGGTGCTAAGTGGAGCTTAAGTGGAAGTACTTATGAGTCAAACATGGAAGAGAAGGTTCTGTTGGGTGACCGAAGGAAAACTCGCGCAATTATGGGTTTGTTGTATAGTTCTATATTTGTATTGCCGTCTCCATATTTGCTAATTACAGACTTTTCCTGTTTATTTCTGGCGTTTACTGTGTGTGACAAGTTATTACGGTTATGATTAGACTGCGAGAACTTTGTTGATCCATTGAAGCAAAATCAGTACCGGTTTATTAGTTTGTATTTTGGACAACTTAAACGACTTGACGATCATTCGTTAAATGTCCACTTTGAACTTCTGACATGTGATTTGTATGCACATTAGTAAAATTTGACATTGCTTGGGATGGTTTAAGACTGTATGATTTTTAAATTTAGGCATAAGTAGCAGACATTAGTGATATATCATTACTAATGACCAGAAATAACAGATGATCACAATTACCTTGAAACTCTGCTGTCATGTTAAGGATAAATAACAAAGCTAGGCCCATTCAATTAAAATTCCCAGAACATATGAGTGTTTTGATAATAATATTACATCAAATAAATAATTTGTCAGTACGCTGACTGATAGAGAAGGGAACTGCGCACGCGACAGTTGATATCTGTTATCATTTCCGTCCTTGTTTGATGTAATTGAATGTATAATGTAGACCTACAGTCTACAGAGCTTCCTTCAGATACGGTATTGATGAATGAATTTGAAAATTTAGTTTATAGAGGAATATTCGAGGAATATTATTTCGTGGAAATGTTTATTCAAAAAGTACAACTATGGGAAGCGTTAAACGGAGTTAGCTTTCAATTTACTGTAAAATTCGATTTATAGTGACTTCAAATAAATCATGAGTCAAAATGTCGTCTTCATTGTACACACGGCCACACTGTTAGCTATCCATTTCCGTTTTTGCTCTTGCTCTAATCAAATGGCGATTCTTTGTGATAGAACGAGATGACATTACTGGCAATGGGCAGTTATAACACTGTTGCCGATAGTACAAACTCGAATTGCATTTTGATAGCTCTTATGTCAATTAACTAGTGTCCATTGTGTCGTCCGGAAGCAGTGGTAATAAGTTACATTGGGACATATAAAAGCGCTATAAATAAGCCTATTTGCAGAACATAAAAATACTTTTTTTGATACCCTCTACCTATGTTTTACAAGTTCTTAAGCCCTTCTATAGTTTTTATGCCAGGCAGAACTAGTGTTTCCTTCTTGTTTGCTAATACTAAAGTTTTCCTATCTCTCCACCAGGCGGAGCTAGTGGCGGCGGTCCGGCGGCGCGGGCGCGGCGACGCGAGCGACGACGACGAAGACCTCGGCCTCCCGCGGAGCCCGCCGGCGTCCCCGCCCACAGACAAGGCTGATAAGGTATGATGCACTGACAATGTACAAATCCCACCACCACCCATGGCCATACCAACCTCGCGGTTATTGTGGCCGAATCTTGAGAGATGCGCGCGGAATTGCGGCTGCCTAGGGCAGATTGCACTCCACCGCGCGCAACGCTTGACTCTCTACAAGTTCTTTATACTTCGTCCATTTGTCCCTCTTTGCCACTCTCCCCCTTCTGGGGCATGGACTCTACTTAAACGACAATGTACAATCAAGAATACATTACACTAAACCAATGTTTTTCAACCTTTTTCATGACGCGACCCCCATAGTACGAAAAAATATTTTGCTACCCCCCGACCGTTCGCTTTTTTTCATGCATTTTTTAAGGTTACAAAGGTGTTGTAGGAAGCGAATNGCGAATTTTTCAATCCATGCAACATTTATGCATTTTTGCTTAATTAAATTTGTGCCACTTGTGGTCTAAATTGAATAAATATTTTTGATTTTGAGTTTGATTTTAAACTTTAGTAGGTACTGTTTTTTTACTGAGGTAGTTTTGTCGACCTCTCCCCCAGGGGGTCGCGAGTCGCGACCCCGCGACTCGCGACTCGCGACCCACAGGTTGAAAAACACTGGACTAAACATTTTTGTGGCAAAGTAGTCCCTATTAATTAATACCACTGTGTTTAAGGCTCATAAGGTGTCAATGTAGGTACTCGGCAACAACCTACCGTATTGACTAATTTCCTCGTTTATTTTCGTTTCGTATTTAGGTACTAAGCAACGCTTAATATTGGATTCAATCTCAGTCATAGACTTTTTCCTTGTGATGGGTTTAAATATTATAAATGAACCGATTAAAATCCGTGGTTAAAATTGATTCCAGTTAGTTGCTTACTTTAAAATCTGTCAGTGGTTTGTGACATTTTGTGGTAGGTTGGTGACTCTACACTCTACATAGAATGCTCTATCTAGGTATATTTAATTAAACTGACTTTGAATAAGTATTTATCGTTGAGTAAAAAGTTAAATAATGTAGAGATATTTCAGACGATGCAATCATATGGTAAGATTTTTATTACGTTACGTGATATTGCTGATAGGATTATAAATCAGTTAAAATCTCCACAGTGTAGAGCAGCTTTAAAGCTTTGTGTAGAGTCTACATCAACCATTACAAAGAAAAAAAGCTGCTTTTAGGTTCAAGATTTTTCGCGCCCTGTGTATTTGATGTTCACGACTACTAGTGACATCTTGGAGTTGCAACACACACTTGCAGTTGCTACTGACTACAAAGTAATTTCACACGTAACTTATAGATGGCGCTTGCAGTCGCAATGTAGAAACTGAAACTGGAAATGAGTAAATAAATAATTTTGTATTAATTTTATTGCAGTGTATTTAATTAAATTAATTTACTTTTACGCTCGTATTGGTTTAAACAATTGATTTGGATTATATCGCAATTCGCACCAGATTTTCGCTCGTTAGCTTTGTTACAATAATGAAAGAAAGTGGTTTGAAGTAGTTTTAAGATGACTTTTCACGAATTGGTGTTTATTTTCATACTACTAATATTGTAATGATTTTCGGGGACAGGTTTTCAGCTCAAATACACTTAACATCTGGTTATTTGTCCGTTTATTATTTATAGTTAGGTAGGTACTTACTGTACCTCTAGTACGAAAAACTTTCGAGTTCGTTTCGTTGCGTATTCAAAGTGTCATCGAAAAATTTTGTATGAAAAATTAAACAGCGCCCCCCCTAGGGCGGCTATAATATAGGGGGCGCTGTTTAATTTTTCATACAAAATTTTTCGATGACACTTTGAATACGCAACGAAACGAACTCGAAAGTTTTTCCTACTAGAGGTACTGAGAGTATATCCGCATTTTCCTTCCTCTCTTTGTTTATTTGCAATACGAATAATTAATTATACCTACATGCTTTATTTATGCATTTAGACCTAAACTTCATTGTAGAGTCTATGCACTGCACACAACATTATTTATGTGATAATGATAAAATGCCGAAGGTACCTGTAATTTCCAAAGTCGGGGTTGTCTCATCAAAAGATCAAAACGAACCATTTTCGATAAAACATTTAAAATAAATCCATAAAATCGTTGAGATAGAGCGTTGATTTGTAACTCCGCGACAAATCAACGCTCGCGTACGCGACGGTATGAAACTTGCTTGCTTTACGGTATAAAATGTATACTCTTATTTAAAATTAAGTGTCATTAGGTATCGATCAAGGATAACATTGTAATATTTTTGACTGATAACAACTTAATAGTATTACTGCATTTACATGTGTGAAATAATTGAATGATTTATCAACATGGAACTTTCTATATTAAAATAATCTGATCGGAGCGTAATAATAGGAAATTGCTCGTGATTACGGATTTAAAACCAAGATAGGAATTAAGTGGGATTTAGATATACATAATATTTCAAGTAATGTTACTCCTTTCATGGTCACACATGCTAATTGCATTGTAATCGTCATTATTATTTATATTCCCGGGCAATTAATAACTTACAGGGCAGATAATGTACCATCCTAGACTGCATCTCACCTAAAACCAGGTGCAATTGCGGTCAAATACCTGCTTTGTTATGCATAAAAAATAAAAATAAAATATTAAAAGAACACTAAAACATTAGAAAATTTTCAATAGACATTTTGCTTTTTGTTTATAAAAATTAAAAATATAAAAATAAAATAATTAAGAAAATAAAGTGATTTACTTTATTTTTTTATTACATATTTTATTTCTATTTTTATATAGTACACATTAATTTTGTAATGTGTAATAATATTACTTAGGTTTTGTTTCATACTCGTATATCTACTGACTGGTGTAACTAATCTATTACAAAATTCAGAATAATCGAATAAAATATGAAATTACAAATTACCTAGTTGATGAAATACTTTTTAAAAGTTTTTAATGATGCGGGTAATTTAGTAGTTTATTATACCCGCTGATTCTCTCTGCAAAATTGAAATCTGAATCAGTATTAATTCGACGTAGCGTGGGCAGGGCTCCCACTAGGTGGACCGATGGTCGCGGGAGGTGCCTGGATGCGAGCGGCGCAGGACCGGTCTTTGTGGAAATCCTTGGGGGAGGCGTTTATCCAGCAGTGGACGTCTTTCAGCTGAAACGAATGAACGAACGATTAATTCTAATAATACTGAAAGCAAGCAATAACTATACTACGGTATATATAGCGCACGTACTCTTTGGTAACGTAATTGAAACATAGTTATACGTTATTAGATGAGGAGGGCTGCATAATGTATGTGTAACCTCGACACAATTGCACTTTCGCCGCGTCTAACCACAATGCACATCGGTGAATGTTACACGTAGGATAATAACTGCTGGATCGGCTTGTACTACATGTAGAACAAATAGCTTGATAAATTTTTGATAATTCCGCTCATACTTATTAGGAACATTTCAGTAACGTCACAGAATAATAATAAGTACTACGTACAGAAGTTTTACTTCGCGAAGGTATTTAAAAAAATGTATGCTCAGTGTCATTAACAATATGGTGTAATTTAGCCTGTCTCAAGAGTCAAGCACCATTTTGTTGACAAACGTCAGTGATCGGCACTGCGCGCTGCGTCGAAGCTATAGGGCTGACTTCGGTAAAATGATGTGACGTGACACCTCACGTTATGTATGTATTTCCTCCGCCATTTTCCGCAGTTTGGCACCCCAAACTGCGGAAAATGGCGGAGGAAATACATGATTTAGCATGAATTATCATGAACAATATTAACTACTTATTTACCTCTCAGTGTCTTGAGGCAACTTAAAAAAGTACATTTTTTGTTTTTATTATTATTTAGGCAGTTAAATACTGCACAGTATTTAGTACACCATTTTCTTTATTTTCTTCCATCATACACAAGAATACGCGTGCGTGAGTCAATGTTCGCTCGTATGTGAGGCCTTGTCGAATAGTATCCTGTAGGTGCCATCGTGCGTATTTTGTTTTCGATGTAAACTCGCGGAGATGAACAGACCTGGCAACGTACACAAGTTTCAGATGATAGATATTTGGCATAAAATATAACTTAATAAACTTAAAATAACTTAACCGACTTAATAAAGGTTGACCTTAATAAAATGTTACCTGTTAGATAAACCAGAGCTTTTGGGATCAAAGGTCTTGGGTACAGATTACATCTATCTAACAGTTGAATGTCAGATAACTATCTAAACTTTAAACGTACCTTAAAAGTTATAGTTTATCTGACAGATAAGTTCCTGATAGTCTATCAGCCACTTTATCAGCAAGTTGCCTCAAGTGCCACATCTAGTCCCGCTTGCACTTTGGCTGTAACAGTTCGTCTAACGGCCCTACATTTGCATGCTCGGCTTCCCACTATGTTTTTACCCTATTACCTGTCTGATGTGGGAATTGATTCAATAACCGTTAAATAAATACTATAAAATACGTATTTTATAGGACGTGTAAGAAATCGCACGCTTGATTTTATTAGACATTGATACGTATAGCAAAGCAATAAAACTACGCTTTCGTGGTCCAATGACGAGTGAGACTCTCGACTTGCAGGTTCTGGGTTTTATTCCTAGGTGAGACAACACTAGTGTTAAACTTTGAGTATTTGTTCTTAATTTGGCTAAGACATAGCAGGCTTGAACCACCTGATGACCCGAAAAAAAATAAGAAAAGGATGGTACGGCCGTGTGTTTTTGCTTGACTTGGCAGAGGCACTTTATGCCCCCATTTAAGATTCCGTATTTCGGAGGGCACGTTACGATTTAGCCATGCTAGACACCTATGGTGGTTCATTAAGGTTTTTAACCAGGATGGTGCATTAAATTTTTACAATTCATACGATACTTAGAATAAGAAGACAACGACAACTTACGTACTGTCGACAGTACATCACAGATGTTGTTGCAAAATCACCCCAATTGCAATACAACAGAGTCCACAGATTTTAGTTTGACGTGCCGCCGTCTGAACAACTTGTAACGATGCACACAAATGTAGACTAAAGA